CTTCCTTTTGTAAACAAGACCAGTTCAGTTTTGCTCGGGTTGATTCTGAGCCCCCGAACCTGGCACCATTTCTCAACGACGTTAAGGGCCATCTGCATCCTGAGGGACAGACTTCCCAGATCGTCGCCTGTGATCGTGATGGCCATGTCATCAGCGTAACCTTGAACGCTGAAGCCCGCCGTTTTTAGGTTCGTAAGAAGTTTGTCCACCACCAGGGTCCACAGCAGAGGGGATAGGACACCTTCCTGCGGGCAGCCCCTGGCAACTGCAGCTCGATCTTCCGTACCTTCTAATTAGGCGATGGCCGTTCTGTTGGCGAGTAGGTTCATGATCCAACGTGCAAGCGTGACGTCTGCTCCGAAGTTCTGAACTGCCTCGCTCATAGTTTTGAAGGGTGTGTTATCAAACGCCCCTTCTATGTCCAAAAAGACCCCAATTGCCGACTTGCCTGTCTACAGGGCTCTCTCCAGACCTCCTACGAGGTCGTGGAGGGCAATCTTCACAGACTTGCCACTTTGGTAGGCGTGTTGCGCTGAGCACAAGGGCTTGGTGCACAGTGCGCTCTCCTTAAGGTAACAGTCCACAAGCCGCTCCAGCGTTTTTAGAACGAAGGAGGTTAGACTTATGGGCCTGTAGGCCTTTGCCTGATCGTAAGTGTTTCTAATCGTATTTTAAATGTTTGATTTTAAGAAGAAAAACGTCGTACTTGATCAAATTTTGTCTCTCGTACTTCCGTCTAACACAAAGGGTGTAATGTTTGAATGAATCTCAATTATTCAACATAATTATTCAAAATATATTTTAAGAGAAGCTAAAAATGAATAGCAATAAAACTTGAGGATTGAGGTTAATGATTATTACTCAAGTTATTTTTTTCGAGTTTTTCTAAGATTTCGTTGAAATAGAAAAGGTTTCGAATAATAGTTCAGAAAATCATCTTTTAGATATTTTATTGCTTTTGGAAAACCCACGTGGCGAAAAGCAATGGAATTTTAAAAAAAGAGTACGTGACGTAAGAAGAGCGTTAACTTTCCAAAAAGAGGAAGACCATGCGAAGGGACTTGTGCGCGCCTGAAGCAAGGGACTTCTTATTATGTCACAGTCGACCAAATAAATACGTAAAGTTTGATGCATCAGTCAGGTGTCGAAAAAATAAAATCGAAATCAGATCGTCGTGAAACATCTCTAAAAATTGTAAGTCTTGTTTTGTCTTGAACATTGTATTAATAATATTTCAAGGCTCGTAAATTTTCGTATGAAGTTTATTTGATCGTCAAATTATTCTTAAATTGATATTTAATTTAAAAGTAAATAAGGTTAAGCATATGGTTTGCATATTGACACCTTTAAAGAGCAAAAATACATAACATATGATACAGAGTGAGTATCTTCGCTTTCGTAATGAATGAGAATATTTATAACCGATTGAATTGTTATGAACAAAAAGAGTGAGATTCCATTCATGTCGTACGGTTAAAGCTTTTTTTCAGTTAAAGAAAAAATTACGCACTGGAAGACACACACACACAGACGTCCACTGGAAAATAGTTGTATTCGACTTTGGGGACCTTCAAACGTGGAGATATGTCAAAATTCAAAATTCGCAATATCGAATCTATTACTATAACTTTCCACTGGGAAGTTAATAATTTTTCACGTTGTTGACTTGAGACAGCGCACACAGAGCTCCTGTTATATTTCTAGTATGTTCTATACTACTATACAAATTTCTAGTGTCTGTCTGTCTGTCTGTCTGTGTGGGGTAATCTCCAAAACGGCTATTCTAATTGCAACCGAATTCTGCAGGCATATAGGGGCCATTGTCAGGAAGGATATAAGCTACTTTTTTTTTATTCAATTTGTTTATACTAATTGAATTTGTTATAAACAGTCGAAAACGGGATTTATTCAATATATTCGAGTACTTCGATTTCGTAGTTTTTGCTTTCACTAGAATCAAAAAATAGGTCTGAGCACACTGTGTCTGTGCTAACACGACGAACTTACCATTAGTAATCGTTTGTAACGAATTCATATTTTTATAAACAATGGTTAATTGTTAAAAGCCATATTTGGTTGTGAACAATAATGTTTACTCAATATCGACTTATTTTTCAAATGAAATTGTTATTGTTTGACTTAAAAGTATTTTAAATAGCTAATCCTTTCATTTTTCTATTAGTTATTTTGTTATATAAAAAAGAAACGGTTTGACCCAATTCGTTCAAATTCTTTTCAGATCTCTTTTATAACCATATCTTTCTAATCAATTTTGGTGAAAGTCGATATCTTGATCCGTTCTTGAAATATCGAAAACGAAACAAATGCTGACGTCCATACATACGTACGTACGTACACACACATCATTCTAAAAATTGGTCAGTATGCTTGCAAATATCATGAAACGGGGAGATGTGATGAAAATTCAAATTTTACCAATCGACCCAATTTCAATATCCTCCTAATGGGAAGTTAACAATGTAAACTGTAAAGGAACCCTCCTCTTTTTTTTATAACGATTGAATTTGTAGTAAAACAGAAACTGCATATTGCGCTTGAATCTAAATTATTCCGTTTTTTTTTTTCAATATTTATAGACGTATATTATTTATTTATTGACTTGATTATATATCCCTTGGTTTTTCGCGGACGACTTCACAGAAATTCGCTTATCGATTCCAATCTTATATGATCAATGATCGTGGTGTCGGGACATATGTATGCATATTTTTATAAAGAGTTTAAAATTAAGAGAGCTGTGTAAATTAAGTCCTGAGTTTCTGGATCTATTGTGAGCATTTTGACAATCGTAAGTTCAAATCCCACAAAGGTAAAATATTTTAATCATTGGTGATTTTTTTATTATAGGATTACTGAAAGCTAAAGGTCTCTTTAGACAATAAAAGATCAATTACAAATCATTTGATAATTATTGAATTATTTTTACAAAAAAAAGTCGTTTATCATAGGATATAATCATCTTCTATATATTTGAATTCCTTCAGCGTGTAATTTTTTGTTTTCTTAAAACACAGTTACAAACTGTGTTATATAAATAAAAACCTACATCTTTCATTTATAAAAATTGAAATTGTTACAAATAATCGAAAACGGGCTTTATGCAAGATATTTGAGTTTTTCCAACACGTAATTTTTTTTTTACTAAAATTAAGTTGAAAACATACAATTGTCTATAAAAATTATACAAAAAGAATCTAGGCAATATATTTGAAATCGTTCAACGCTTAATTTTTTCTTTTACTAAACAAAAGTTATTGACATTGGGATATAAAAGAAAAAGAATTTTCTTTCAGAACAATTGCATTTTTCAAAAATAATTGAAAACGAGACCATTGAAATATGTACGAGTTCTCCCAACGACATATTTTTTCTATTAATGAAGGAAAGTTACTCATCATGTATTATCAATAGAAAAAATTCTATACGTTGCTAGAAATTTCTCGAGAATATCAAAACTTTCTCAAAATTTTCAGAGAATTTAGAAAGATTCCGTGAAATTTTAAAGGGTATTATTCTCATTAGAATCGAAAAATCGATGTCCACAAATGAGTTGAAACTATCTTTTTTCCTTAGCGATCAACAGTCAGCTTGATAGGCAGCTGTAGTATTTTTCGTCCGTATTGAGACACAATACACCCATATTTTGCCGTATTGCGTTCTTTTATCTCAGTTGGACGAATATACACGGGAAAAAGACAAAGTTACGCACAATTAAACATGAATCAGTTCGCTTACAAAGACAACAACATTCCACAGATGATATTGAAAATATCGATTATATATAATTTTATTATTATTGATTAAAGATAAACTAGAAATTGTAAGCGCGCTCTCCGAGCGAGCCGTTACCATACTAAAACAACGAACATGTTATATCGAAATCTTCTATGCTATACTACAATTTAAAATTCTAGTGTCTATCTGTCTGTCCGCGATAATCGCTGAAACGGCTCATACGATTGCAACCAAACTTTGCAGACATGTAGAGGGGGTTGTTGAGAAGGTTATAAGGCTACTTTTTGTTTATGTAAAGTGTTTATAACAATTAAACTCGTTAGAAACAATTGAAAACGGGATATACGCAAGGTATTCGAGTTTTTCCAACGGGAAATTTTTTGTTTTTTCTAAATAAAAATGACTACACATGTAACATTAATGGAAAGTAGCTTTTTTTTTTATAACAATTAAATAGTTTTAAAGGAGCAGAGATCAAATATTACGATAGAATTTTCCTTTTTTCCGTTCTTCATCAATGCCTACAAATTTATTACTTCTCTCAATACTATCACATCGCAATGCGTATCTAAATTGGCTAATTTATATTATTAAATTATCATTCGAACCATATTTAATTAATCTTTCATTATGGAACGTAATTCTACATATTACGCGAATGAAGTCGCGGGAATCTGCTAGATAAAAATATACATAGTTCATATATTTTATGAAATACTGTATTCATTCGTTTTATCTGTTTTGTAAGCGACTTACTCTACTACACTCTACTAACTTTTGGCAGTTAAATATTTTGAAAACTAATGTTTCTACGGAAATTTGTATAAAACCTTTTTTATGTAAAATTAACTTACAAACGAATTTTAAAATAGCTAAAATTGCCATAAACTTTATATTTTACGAGATATTTGAAAAAGAACCTATTACCGCGTCCTTCAATTTTCAATAATTTTTTTTGCGCACATGGTTTTGCAATGAACTTTCCATAGGTCATATCTTGCATCGAAATAAAGATAATCCCGGTAAGAAAATTTGACTTGGATGTTGTTTGCAGTAAAACCTTTATTCCCCTGGGCTCAAAAATTTAATTGGTATAAACAACTTAGATTAATAAAGAGTAACCGACAACCTTCCCAACAAGACCCTCTACATGTTTGCGAAATTTGGTTGCATCCGAATGCACTTTTTAAGAATACAGTTTTGACTTAGCCTATTACATAATTGTCGTTTTATTCTATTCACAGTGTGCTCTTTATTGGGTATGGGTGTGGCAGCAATATTTGGACCGCAGAACGCACATACCGCATCTCATGTGCAAAGCATCTGTGATACGATGGAAATACCACATTTAGAAACACGTTGGGACTATCGACTGCGACGTGAAAGTTGTCTTGTAAACTTGTATCCTCATCCGACGACTTTATCAAAGGTAAATAATTAGAACAGTATTCTTTTACCAATTCTATCTAGCTTTACTTCGTTATCCAGCTAGTTGATTCAGATGTGACTTTATCAACGATGACAGCTTGATCCGTCGAAATGTAGATATAATATATATATACAGAGAATATATGTATACAGAGAAACGAAAAGGAAAAATAAAGAGGTTCAACCGTGGAAACCCGAAGATAGAAATACGTTTTATGCTCTAATGTATTTTGAGGATCAAAGCACACTGTTCATATAGTTTATCTAAAAGAAACATAAATATAAAAACTTCAATGCATACGATAAAGTAAAGTTGCTTCGAAGTCTGAAACTCCTTTGATTTTTAGATTGAACTTTTCCACTTACCTTCGGTTTTTTACTTTCTTACTGTTCATACTTTTACATTCCATCGAATCACTTCCAAAGACTAACAATTATGATAGCGATAGAATTTTTTTCAAAGAAGTTTTCTATGTGAATAATTTTCAGACATTCAATAATCCGCTTATAATTATTGAGTACACTTGAAAGATAAAATCTAATCATAGTTCTGAGGAAGCAAAATTGATGAAATTCGGTTTTAATAAAAACTTCATTAGCTTATAAAATTATAATTAACTTAGGAACTTTACTCATATACTCTTTATTATTACGTTCAACAATTATAAAATAACTAGTCTTGACGAAAAAGTTCTGAAGAAATTGAATGTCGTACACCTATGTTATTGAGAGATTGAATACATTATCAAAAAATAACTGCAAATATTAGTGTTTGTTTTAAAACGTTTTCAAGTGTTTTAATAACGAGACAATGTTAACCGAATGGGTGATATCATATAAAAACATTTTTAATGTATTAGAATAAAATACTACGATTTGTATCGGTGATACGGTCAAATTTGTCTAAATTTCATACATTTTGACAGTTTTTTTATAAATTACAGGTACGATGTCCTCTTCTAATAAATGGACTGAATAATAGTATACTGTTTTTTTTGACATACATGAAGTAAAAATTACAGGGTTAGATTTAGACAAGTTTGACTGCAAACAATATTAAAAGTTATTGGTCTAAGATGGAGATCTTAATCAGTTAGAATTAAGTGCATGAAAAGGAATATGTAATAATTTTCAATAACAATCAATTGTTAGATTTCTTAGAGAAAAAATACCATTAAACATCAGAGATTCCAGCATAATTATAGTATAGTACATTCCCCTTCTTTACTAACAGCTAATATGGATAGAGGTAATTGAAATTGAATTTTGAGGGTTTTGATTTTCCCAAATCAGGTAAAGTTTTTTAATTATTTATACTGTCTACTCAACATAAAATTATCTCAGTTAGTACATCACTTTTTGAATAGTAAGAGGAATGACAGAGATCCTGTCGGACCAAAATGAGTATGTAATAAGAACACATAGGAGAGTAGCTAATTAAAGTATTAGGGTATTTAAAGTGGTTAAGTTAAGAAAATATAACGAGCAACGTTCAAGGATCCTGGTTCAAATCTTGGTCTCAAAGACTGTGTGGGCAGAGGAAAGGGAGAAGAGTTTAGATAATTATCATAGATCCTTGTCTGTGTAAATAAATATTCCATGTAAACGAAATATAGCTAAAATTTTTTGTTGTTGGACAGAAAATTATATAAGCAAATTATAATAAAATCAAGAGTATATGATAATGCAAGATTGCTAGCTCCTAAATTGAATAAAATCATTTCTTCTGTAAGACACTGACCGGCATAGTAAACCTGATATACGTATATATTAAGAGAACATAAATTCATGGATCGATGGATAGATACAACTAATATAGGATGTCGAGTATTCAATCTCGTATGTGCTTGCAATAGTAACTTTACATAATAATGATAAATTCTGCTCTGCTGCTCTCGACAAAGGTCCAGAAAGGGCTCGAATTCGCTTAATTCTGTCGTAGAGTTATAAATTAGGAAGTAAGGAAACTATAAGATGCTTTCGACGTCTACTGGATAAATCGTGAGCAGAACTTACTTGAGATATTTATGCATAATTTACGTTATCCGCAGAGGCCAACTTATACGTACTCTTGCTTTAAAGGTCATATAGGGTAGCGAATGCATGAGCAACAAAATTTTTTTATGGAATAAAAGAAAAGGAAAGAGCGTAGATAGAAGGGTTAAGGAAGCATCATAATAAACACGGTTTTTTTGAATATTCTCATTCATAGGTACAGGTCAATTTTTTTATGATTATATCTTATATTTAATAGTACATTGTGTATCAAAGTATCTAACTGCCCTCCCGCCCGCCGAATCTCACAAGGTTTTAGATAAGATCTTATAAGAATCTCAACGGAATCTTGTGAGATTTTACAAAAATCATATATGATTTCAATAAGTTCATACATGAACTTATACGATTCTTATAAGAATCATATATGTTTCTTATGTCCGTCACAGTTTCTTGTAAGAATAACATAGCGGAGGAAATCGGAGTCCCACAATATCATACAAATTAATTATCTTGTATGATTAAAAATCTCATACAAGTTCTCATAGGTATCTTGTCATGTTCACATAAGATTTTTTCATGACAATAAATTTGCAAATTATTTTCTCACCTGCTGTTAAAAATAGATTCCGCAAAAATTACATCGATAAGAAAAAATAATTGTGTCAATGCTGTTTGACTTAAATTATTACGAATTGCATACTCCACCAGCATCAAAAGAATTTCCCCTTTTGTTTTATTCACTGGATTTGAGATCAGGTTATTCATGTCTTCATTTTCTAATATATTTTTATAGAGGAAATCAAAGTCAGTGTATCCTCTACTTAGAGATTCATTGTTAGGTATATCTCCATTGACGTCCATCTGCTGGCCTACATTTTGTTTTTCATTTTCAATTAATTCTTCAGACGATTGATCAGAATCACTGTTAGACTGGAAAAGTTTATGATAAATTTATGAAACCCAATAGCTTTATATGATTTTTTGAGAAATACATCAATTTTAGTATCTTTCCATGTTTTTTTAAATATAATTCATATTTGCTTACATTAATCTCAATGTTATTGTTAACATTGTCATCTGAAATATTATGTGTTTCAATATTATTTACTGTGTCAAACACCCCAGCATTCACATTTAAATCATTATTTCTCCTATAATTTCCTACTCGACTCCTACCACGATACTCCGATGTGTTTTTAATTTTCCAATAACTATAAGTAGATTTTGGAATGTTTCTGTTACCATGAGTTACTCTCAACCACTTTTTATATCTTTGCAGTTTATTTATCTCCGTATTGAACACGAAAAAAATTTTCTTAGTCAATGAAATGATTATTTCAATTGAAAAATAATGGCAATGATCAATTGCGATTCTAACCTCTGCTACAAAAATGTGTCACACAATTGTGAAAAATTATATTTTGATTCAATAAGCTTTAAATCATGAAATAAAATCAACAATAGACTTCACCTGTACTCTATATAATAGTAAAAATTGAATAATTTGACATGTGAGGTCAGATTCCAAAAATATAAATTTTATTTCAAATTAATAATTTCATCTAAAAATGTTTAGTGTCGGTATACTGCATACATATAAACAAATAGTTATATTTATGATGTTTTGGAGTAACTTGAGACAGTGTGAAAGAATTTGCTTACCGGCGAATGAGACGCCAAGCTTTGTAATACACCACTGAAGTCAACTATGAAATCGACCAGGTTATGAATCAAACTTTTACTGACGATATTTTGTTACGTCAGTTCTAACCCTTTCTTTTTAATAAATATATAAATAATTAATAGTTATTTGTGTGCAAAAAAAAATAAACGGCTTTTCATTATTGTGCCAAATAGTTACTAGATTTGTATTGTTCATTCCCGTTGGGTTCTTTGAAGCTAGTAACGTCAGAACAGAAAGACGAAGTTTCCCGATTTACTGCGTATTAGTATCAAGAGATACGGTAGTGTCTCGTGCGCCAAGCATAAATCGCCGCCATTTAGCCCTTACGTCACGACGAGGCACTACCGTGTATCTATACAAATTATAAGATGATTTTTGCGGGTTATAATTTTTAAATTTAAAATTTTTTTCTTATTATAACATAAACATGGGTTGAGATTAAGAATTTGATCGGAAAGCGATCGTTGACTTTCGATTAAGCATACTATGAAGTATTATCATTGCTTCATTCATAATATACGAAATTGAAAAAATTTTGTTGCACAAAAATTGAGTAAAATGAGAGTTTATTCATGGAGCCATCATACGTTTTTTTTTTATCAAGTTGGTGATCAGAGTTTTTGATTGCTATGAAGTTCTCTCACTAACAGATGATAAAGTTGGTAATAAGTTCATTTTGCTCAAGCGCGAATGTACGAATAATTAAAATATTTTCAACCGATGACGTCATATTAAAACACTTTTAATGTCTCAAAATGAATCACTAAAGTTCACAGTACATAAATGAACACGTGAGCGTAGTCTTGTTTATACTCGGGAAAATTTGTACAATACAAACACAACTTAGCTCCTGACAAGCACACATCTAAACGGTATACCTCTTTAGGCATTTAGAGTGAAAAGTACCCGACACAATTCATTTTCAAATATCTTGGTCCCTAATAAAGTTTAAGAATTTTTTTTTTTTTGAATTAAAGTTCAAACAATCCCGTATAAAATGAATGAATTAATTAGTGTCAATGGTAATAGATAAAAATACCACCAAAGCTAAAAAAAACGTCTTTTTGAGATTTTTTTTGTTTTCGTGCCGTATCTATGATTCTAATGGATTAAAATATAAAAAAATGTAGTGTTTTGGAAAGCTCAAAAAGTGCTCTAAAAGATGGTGAAATGCATGTTTTAATCCGCTTCAAAAGGTATAATCATTTTACTACTTGAATTCATTAAAGAAGCGTATGTAAAAAAATAGGTATTGGGCGAGTTATTAAAGAAATCAGAGATCTATTATTCATTGTAATCTTCATTTTCATGCACAAAAA